ACTGTAACCTGTGCAAGTTTTTTTTTACTTTAGTTTAGTTAGGACTAAACTTTTCTGTACTTAATACTATCGATAAATAAACTTTTAATGTCATTCTACGACCTAATGTCAAACCTTTTCTAAAGACTTTGATAAGTTTTTAATATTCTGTTGTACAAAATGGTTAGTAAAGTATATTTACATTCCTCCTTTTGTTGTTACTTCTTGTTTCATACAGCAATTATAGCGACTTGATCACCGAGCTTTGCAGCTCTCTGCCACAGGCAGACTGTTTGTCATTGAGTGAATAATGCGCATGCGTGGTTTATCTTGGGGAAACATTCTAACTACGCCTGCTTATGCAGCAGGTTCTCGGTCAGAAAGCATAACGGTCGTACATAGAAACAAGCAGAATAATAGTATAGATGAGGCAATAGCACCAGACAAGGTTTTCCTCAAGATTTTGAGTAAGGTAAAAAAAAATCACATGCAAACTTCTCTCTCTTTTTTTTCATTCTTAGTAGGTCAATAGACAGTAGGGATGTGTCTGAAGATTGTCGTATATTTAAATGGAATGATAAGAGTTGACCTCCAAATTATTGGCCAGTTAGTCTTACTTTTTAGATAGGTGAATTCCTAGCGTGCAATAAAAAAACTTTATATGACCATTTAATGAAATATGATATTGTATAAGAAAAACAACATGGGTTCACTAAAGGGAATTCTTTCCTTACAAATCTGTTAACTTTTGAAAATGTTATATGAATGACAGAAAGAGTGAGATTTTGGTGTACTTGTGTTTTCAAAAAGCATTTGATAAGGTACAACAAAAGTAAGGTAAGAAAACCACATTATTAAGGGTTGGGGAAAGACTAGAGTATGGATTTTACAGTGGTTGGAAGAAAGAAAAATAAATGTTATTAATGGAGGTAAAACTGGGCTCTCTTTACAAGTTGATAGTCTCGGGCTCATTGTTTGGACTTTGCTTTTTTCTATTTACATTAAATAGTGATACAGACAGAAGAGAGCATAATAAGCAAGTTAGTAAAGTTTGGTGAAGACATTAATCTTAAACATATCTGACTGTATTATGGATGCTGAGATATTTGAGGATGAGTTGGATCAATTCATAAATTGGACAAATATTTAGCAATGACATTTAAATAGAACATATGTTTAATATAGAAAGGAACCCACTCAGAATCGGGACTAAAGAAAATTATCTTGTTATATAAGTGGTTAAGTTACTCATCATCAAGACAGCTCTACATTGCTAATAGTATTCTAAGGATGATAGAGTTTATAATATGAAAAAGGCTGGCTAGACTGAATTTAATAATTTTATTTTTCTATCAGTGATTGGCTTATGGAATAAGTTGATGTCAGCATTATTAAAGACTGGCACTTTTTAAGGGTTTAAGAGAGGAGTCGAAGATTTCCTGAACAATAAAGGTGGAGTTAAATTTTTACTTTTCTCAAGGGTGGGAAAACAAGGACAGCCTCTTGTTAAACTTATATTATGCCTTATAAAATTAGTAGCTTTGAACATATCAGCCGAGTTTTTTTTTTAATATAAAATAATGAATAATAAGGTAAATGAGAATAGGTCATCAATCTTAGTAGCTGTCTTTGTAACAAAATAAGAAATAAAATTATTGACATTAACAAAAATGTTTACTTGAAAGAGTTACTCACTTTCGAGTTCTGTAAATCCTTCATCCCATGCTTTAAGACGATCATGATGTGCTTTAGTATGGCCACCAAGGAGACTTCCTGATGAAAAATCATCTGAATCCATTTTTTTTCTTAGTGTTACACCCACTTTTTTTTATGACTAAAAAAACAAAAAATTTAATCAAAAATTCTAAAAAAGCAATTCTGCTGAATCTACCAAATAGAAGCTTATTATCAACATCAAATATAAACAAAAATAATATTTATGTGATCAAACTTTCAAAAGTTTTATTAATGTAAAGGTTTAAGGACAAAAAAGATATTGAAAAGTTCATAGAGGGAACATGAATGGATGACCTTGATAAAGCAGTAAACTATTTACTATTGAGTTTTGCAGGAGTTGTTAGGATTTTTACTGTTCATAATTTATATAAATGATAATGGTGATGAAATATTGTACTGTCTAAATCTGCTTTAAAAGAAAGGCTTATATGAAAATGTTGGCTCGATTCACAATTAATTTAACACAGAGACAGTGTTTTTCTTTTGTTTCTTCTTCTTTCTTCTTACAAACATTTTCCAATTGACTGTCATTCTTTCATTTCTTGGTGGATTGGCTTGAAACTTGGAAGGATTATACCTTTGTCCAATACTCCCAGATAACAACTTAAATTTTGTGATTTAGGGCCTTTTTAAGGATTTTATGTGGTCAAAGGCCAAAATCAAAAGTCTATATTTTGGGCTCCTATGTAATCATACTTACAGCAAAAAAAGTTGGCTTTGCACATTGTGCCTTTAGGGGGAGGGTCAAACTAACAAAAAAAAAGTATAATTTTGGGGTTTTGGGTCAATTATTCAGCCATATTTTGACCAATTTACATGGGATTTGGTACAAAGATACATTTCTACAGGTCCTACACATTGACAAACAAAAATGGTAGACTTCCCCATTTTTAGTAATTATAAAGAGTGGTTAAGATGACACAAAAAACACAATTTTAGATTGTTTTGATGATTACTCTGCTGTATTTCAGCCAATTTATATGATGGGAGTTAGTACAAAGATACTTTTTTTACAGGTCCCATACATATATGTACAAAAATGTGAGATATGCCAATTTTTGATAATTTGAGGATGGGGGGAGGGGTTGAAATAAAACCATAATTTTTTTGGAGTTTGTGTCAATTAGCCCTGTTTTGACAAATATACCTGCAATTTGGTACAAAGATACTTTTCTACAGGTAACACACATTGACAAATATAAATGTTGGACTTACCTATTTTTAGTAATTACAGGAGGTCAAGATGCCAAAAAAAGCATAATTTTAGGGATTTTTTAACAATTACTCTGCCATATTTCAATCAATTTACATGATATTTGGTATGAAGATATTTTTTTACAGGTTCCAAACATAGACATAGAAAATTTTGGAATTTTTGTCTTATGCTCAATTTTTCAGCAAGAAAAGCACAATTTGGGATTTTTGTAAACTATTCGTGCGTATGTCAACCAACTTACATAGGATTTGGTACAAAGATACCTTCTTTCAGGCCCCAAGCAGTGATATAAACAGTTTCCAATTTTTCATGATTTTTTTCAAAATTGTTCATGTTGCATTCACCTGCAAATGTTGGTCTCTGTAATTGAAGATGTATTCCAACAGTGGTAAGTATAGCATGAAAAATTTGCAAACAATGTTATAAGGGTGTTATTGCTATAACAAAAGCAAAGTGCATGAAGGCTTCAGCAGTGTATAGTGTTAGCCAAGTGCTATGGAAGTTTTATAAAAAAAAAGGTGATTCTGTCAGTTTATGCAATACTTAAGTTCTACCTTGTCTAGAATAGTATGTTTAATTCTGGTCTTATTATACTATACGATAGATTAAATATTGGTTACAATGTAGAGAATGCCAATTAAGATCACGCTTGACTTTATAACTTTAAATCATGAAAACAGGTTTAAATATTTGGATTAGTTTTGGTTTGAGTATAAAAGAATTGAGGTGATTATATTCCATGTTCCAAGTTGTGAAGGGCTTAAAGTACCAAAACCCATTCATTAAACCAAGATAAACTCCCACAAACTAATTTTTCTTTCTTTCTTTTACTTCCACTGAAATATAACCCTGCAGGCTCATATACGATCCAACAAAATTTTCAAAGAATTCAAACAGATTTTACAGTATCAAGTAAACCAATCCACAAGTTAAAGTGAAATAGGCTGTGTCAAAAAAGGGTGAATTTTGATTTCCTATGCATAAAACTGTTAGTTCTAATATTCAGTTTTCAACCTTTTCATTACACCGCTCAGACAACCCAAGAAAATTTACCCAAACCTCTCGAACATCTCATAAACCGCACACACAATTTCTTGCACTCCATAAAAGTCAAGCTCAAAAACTTTAAGCCTCTACTCATAACTTAACATAATACAACATTTAAAGAACAACAAGGGTCCCTGTTGGTCTATCAAGTCTGTCACATACAAATTAAAAACAAACAAAAGATACTCAAATCCAGCTCTGATCATTCTAATATTTACTGAACCTTTCCTTAAACACCTTAAAACCTATTCCAAAGGCCTACTACCCAAAAGTAAAACTGTCTGAGCCCTGCAAGATTTGTGTCCCCTTTTCTTATCATTCTCATGATCAAATAAAAAAGTATGCCTTGTTACTATCAATTTCATTAGTAATACTGAACACCTCAATCATATCCCCTCTAGCTCTTCTCTTTTCAAGAGAAAGCAATTTCACAGATCTTTACCTGTTCTCGTAGGACAACATTTCCATCCCAGGTATCATCATAGTAACCCTCCTTTGAACCCTTCCTGACAATCTAATGTCTTTCTTAATGTTAATTGCCCAAAGACAGAGCATGTTACTATAAATGAAACCTAACTAGTGGCCTATACAATAAAGTAACCTCTTCTGACTTATATTCAATATCTCTGTAAAAAAAACAACCTAAAATCCTATTTGCCCTACCACTAGCAACAGTACACTGCTAGGACTCCATTAACACAATTAGTCATTCTTATTAAAATTATACTTAGCTTAAATTATGATAACCCACATGCATTATCTTGCATTTCTTATAAAAAAAAAAGCCATCTACCAATTATTTGCCTAAGTAATCAAATGATCTAAGTACTTTTGTAAAGCAGCATCCTCCATACAGCCAGCATTACCCAAAACCTTAATATAACAACAAATTTATTGACCATTCCTTTATCTTTGTCATTTACATACATCACAAACAGCAAAGGTCCCAAATCTAAGCCATGAGGTACCTCACTTACAACATTAATCTCATTTGACTAAACTCCATTTATTAAAAACAAAAATGGTAAAATGTATACTACAAAGAAATGATAAATAACTGTTTTAATGTTCACAATAGTTTCCCCCATATTTGTATGGATTTAATTCTACCACCACAGTCTTTGTTACTGTAGATGTTTTAATTTGTTTTTGGTATACAATAATTAGTATTTTGTTTATTTGAAATTTATATATCAGCAACTGCAATTTTGCATTCACATGCTTCCATGGCCAGGAACTCTGATTATCTGGGACCACCTACTAGTGGGGTTCATTAAAGGTCTGTTTTTAGAACTTTGTTGCTCATTATCTATGTTATGAATTGGATGGTTTCCTACTAATATTTCTAAGTTCTCTGTTGCAGGATTTTCTGCAGCACTTCCTAGCTTATCAATACCAACAAGCTTTTATTTTTGCCTGCATTCTTTCCTGTGTATCAATACTTGAAAATATATGTCTGACATTTAACTGCACCCCCTCACAAGTTATTTACCATGTACTGAGCACTATTGAGTGTTGTTTTCCCACCTACCTAAAATAGTCTTCACTGTTTCACGCATCTGGTACAGTATAAGAAGTGTAAACATGCAGTATCATGTGTACACAGGTTCATGGTATTTCTTTTACTGTATTTTAAGACCCAAACTTATCCACTTACTTTTTCAGACGGCAAGCCTAATATATTGCTTAACTGAAAATGCATGAGGTCAGTCAGTTGGGAGAGGAAATTTTACTATAATTCTTAATTTACTATGCATGAACCCATAGAACTATACCTTAATGGAAAGCTGTGCTTCAACTGTAGCAGTGAAACTAATCATATAGCTTAGATCTCCAAGTTTCAGTCAGTGTTGCTAAAACCTATATCTATGGCATTTGTTTAGATTATGACACCAGCATTTTTTTTTAAAGCTATTAATGTTAAAATAGGTCTAAGCCTAGATAAAGTGTGTGTGGAGGGGTGGGTGGGGATGAGTTACTTCATTGGATCGAAAAATGTCAGGAGGGAAGAAAGCAGAGTATTGTTATAAATTAAATTCTTAAATAATGTGATTGACAGGTACGTATCAGTAGTAAAGTCTACTCATTCTATGTCATGTCATGATGTAATTGATACATTGTTTGTAGCTACAGCCAATGATATGTTGTCAGGACAACATAGTCTATTTATGCCAGATGATATGACGTGAAGCAACTTGTTTCCAAGCCAATGCATAGGCTGTTTACAATCCCCATTCATCATTTTTTGACATGCTGTCAATTCAAATTGGACAGACATATCTATGTATCAGTTTATGCATTATGTATTTGCACCACAAAGTTTATTGTATGGCCTTGTTTTAAAGTTTTGTTTATGTGTTTGAAAATAGTGAATGCTTTTGGATCCAATGAAACTAGCCAGACCAAAGTAGAGCATGAGGAGAGCTGTCATTTGATATATCAATGATCCTTATTGGTCCAGCCAATTTGAACCAACATGCTGGTTTCGGTTTTTAACGTTTGGCCACTGATTGCTGAAAAGTTGTGAAGGACAGGTTTCGTGATCATTGCGATGTTTTTAAAGTGGATTTACAACTAGTAGGAGGACAGTTGATTTGAAATAAATCATGCAATTTCAGCATGTATTAGTTCCCGTGTCAAGGCAAGGTCCATCAGTGTCAAACCCATACACGTGTATTCATATTATATGGATAAATGAATTTAAAATTGACAATAACCAAATGTTAACAATGAAGAATGAGCTTATGAAAGTATAGAAGAGATTTTATAATCACATTGGTTGTAAACTTTCACTCAGTATCAGGTTACCAGGTAAAGCAATAAATCACAGACATTTTGTTAACATTGTTCCAATGGGAAGGTGGAATGGAGCAAAAAGTTGATTTACAGGTATGATTTTAAATTGTTTTTCATTAATTATTAAGTACATAACTGAACTTGCAGTGTAAATCTACTAATTTGTGACTGAAGAATCCAATGGTGTGTAGAATTTTGTGCTATTTTCATTATTTAAGAATCACTGATTTCCCCTATCACTAGTCATACTTCCCAGCAGAAACATTATTTATCACCTCTTTGCTTTCAATTAATTAGCTGTTAGCTAAATCTTTACACTAATCCAACCTATTGATCATATTTTTTGAAAGGAAGTAAATGTCATAAACCAGAATAACCCAATACAAAATGATATAAATTATAATGAAAAAATTCCAACAAATTGGTACAGCAAGCAAATCCTGTTCTAAAACTATGCTGAGAAACAATACACCCCAACTTTATGAATAGGTTTCTAAGTTACTTCTAAATAGTTTCCAGCATCTTGCTAACAGTAATAGAAGTCATACTCTTATGACATGTAACAACTGTTTACTGTTTGTATCTGATAACTTGTAATTAATCATACACTGAATTAATAACAATTCAATATGTGACAAAGTATAATAGGTCTTAATACCTTATTAAATCTATGATTACATGTATGCACTTCAGAGAAATTGGCTAGTTTATTGCCTTAATAATAATCTAAATAATACAATTTCATAGAAATAGAAATACTTTGACATTAAAAATATTTTTAGCTTACCAAACTTAGAAATTAATGGTAAAATCACAATACAGTCTTACAAGACAATGGGCTCAAATTTAAGAATAAATTTAGAAATTTATTTTTGGAAGTTTGAACTTGATTAACTAATGGGTAATGCTAATACTAATAGTTTTTCTCAGCTTTGACTTCTAGGTTCTAATTGCCTGCAAGTTGCAACACTATATTAATTTTTTCTAACTGAAGCTTAGATTTAAAAAATTAGTACCAACTTACTATGTTAGGTTAATGTGTAGCAAAAAATACAAAAATTCTCACCATTTTTTCTTGTCTATAGTCCCTTATAAGTAATTACGTACTACCAGTAGCTTAGCCTACACGTCACTACGCGAGTTTTGTTAGTACCACTACTACTACAAATACAAGTTATTCTTGAACTGAAGTAGGCTTATTATTTGCTTTCCAAGATTCAAAGACAATTTGTTTCGTCGATTTTCGTTAATTTTATCAAATACCAACAAAAAGTACTGTTACAAACGCAACAATTCTCGCGTTTTTATAAGACAAAATAAAGATATGCTAATATTAACATTGCTGTCAAATAACTTTAAACTTTCTTCACAATCAACTTACAGTTACAATCAACCAAGCGTTAGAATTAAATAACATGGAGGATCCCAGTTGTCCATATCTCACTTACCACTAGACGTCTCTCTATTGTGTTCCAAAGTTGGGTGTTTTTGCACTTCTATCAACGATTATATATTTTTTATGGTTTAAAACATAATCTGCTTTGGTCGGCTTATCGCTGAAAAGAAAAACAGAGATTACGTTTCGTGTGTGGTATATGTGAAAATTATGTATTTGCGTGATTAGCTTGTTGTTGTTAAGCACAAAACTATACAATGGGCTATTTCTGTTGTGCTCGCTACGGGTATCGAAATCCGTTTTCAGCCATGACACTTTCCGCTGAGCCATTGGGAAGCGCGTGTTTATTATAGCATGATCCTTAATCATTTAAGCGTTGTCATAGTGTGTTCACTTCTTCACCAGAATCAAAATTACATCTGCAGTATATTTCCTTTGTAACCAAACTGTCAATTGATATTTCTCTAGAATTTATCTTTATTTGAGACTTTATTAAATAACTCAAAACTTTTGTTAAATATCATGAACTTGATTAAAACTGTTCAAGCTTGATAACCTTTTATAAATTGGAAACCTATAATATTGTTAATATAATTCGCGGCAACTTATATTATACTACATAAAAATAAAGTTTAAACATGCTTTGTAATATCGTAGAATATCTCATTATAAACAGAGTTGTAAATTTACGGTTCTGATTACAAATAAATGTCATGTGGATCCCGAGTTTTGTCTTTTTATTTGAATTTATTATTGTAAATTCAAAACAATAGCTGTAGTTTAGACTGACTGACCACTCTAGTACAATAAAGTTGTGCAGATTTCCACATTTGTAACCTTAATTACGTATGGTAGTCTTTGCTTTCTTGGTTTGAGTTTTCAGTGACCGTTGATTAGACTTTGAGAAATCGCCGATATAGTACGTATAATATCAAAATAGAACAAATTTACATAAATTCCAGTTATGAGTCATACGTCACCCTGTCTAAATATTATTATTGCATAAGAGTTTCCTGTGAAATTTATCCTTTGCCGCTTTGTGGTACCCTAGTTACGGATTGTTAAATACGCAGATAGACAGATTCTGCAGATAACACTGAAGTACTTCTAAGACTTTGTAGATTAAAATGTTTGGGAGATGTCTGTGACTTGAAGAAAGGACCCCCCCCCCCCAGTGACACAGCAAATTCTGCGAACTTACAACGCTAGAATCCGGGTTTCGATACCCGTGATGGGCAGAGCACAGATAGCCCATTGTGTAACTTTGTGCTTAATTACAAACAAACAAACTGAAGAAAGGAAACAACAAAATATTCAAAAGTAAAAACAACAATTTACTGAACAAAAGATAACGCAAAATTATACAAGTTGTGAATGAAAGAAAACTGAATAAATTTAAATAAAGGAGGGGCATTGATTTAAGTGAAGGCCAACTGAAAATTAACCGAAGATACTTAAGAAGTAACTCAGTGGTTGGCTGTTTGACAAAGAAAAAAGTCAAATTATTAACTGTTTCTGGACCCAGTGTTTAGCTTCTCAGCTCTACTCACCATGAAGCAATTGCGTCTCTATAGGTTAGCCAATGACAGCCACGTGTGTTGGAAACACTTTCTCTCCCCTTCTTTCCATGTGACAGGAAACCTCGACTAGAAATTACAAGCCATTAACATATAACTTATTTATGTGATGGTAAAGACAGTCTTGGTTGACACCCACAAGAGAAACAACCGCCCTAGATGTATTGTTATAAGCAATATTTTCAATGTTTTAATCTAGATGTTAGTAAGAGAGAACAGAAGTAAATTCGACTAAGATCTAGATAGGTACATTAGGTATAAATATGAAAATCAGTGAAGCATTGAGCCAAGTTTGTAGAATGTGAGTCATCTAATTTGTTTTGTTATTCAGTTGCCTGTTGAGTTAAAGCATCTATAAATTGGTCATGTGCCAACGAATTCATCATTTCACTTAGATCTTCCTGTTAAGATAATTGGGCGTTTACAAATCTTCTGCAAGTTTGGCTATGGTATCTTCTTTCCTTTATATGCTGTTCTGAAACTTTGTTCTGGGTACTTTCGTCTGGTGTGTCACTCCAAACCTGTTGGATAAGGCAGCTACTAATGCTTGATGGTTGTTACGATTCTCAGCTGAAAAGCTACTTAATGTTGTTAAAGCTAGTTCTTTTAAATAAACAGAAAGGTGGATCAGTTATTGTTCACTATTCCACCTGTTCACTCTGGAAATTATTTAAAACTGAGCCTGGTATGATTGAAATGGTATCTACCCATCATAGTCTGCTGAATTCTTTATTGACAAATGTTAGATTAGCCAGCTAGATACTGGAAATAGATTTGGTAGTGTCATGACTGGAATAGTACAGGAAGGTCCCTCAGTAACAGGTTGTACAGCAGTAGTAGTATATAGCACATAAATTCTCCTGTTCTATATTTTGTATTGGATGGTGTTTAATGTTGTAATTCTTGGGTAAATGCAGAAAGAAGTGTGGCTGATTTAATATTTGCATTTACCAATTCGTTTTCCAGATGTTTTATTTTGTCACTAGTGGTGCTCTTTTCTACCTCATAGACTTCTCTTTGTACTTATTCAATCTTGTTATAGTAATCCCTTTACACATCTTCAATAGCTTCATCAGTTTTGATTTTAATTCTTCTTTAAGTATTGAGTTTCTTTTAACTCCTATCTTTCATCTTAGTTTTCTTTTAATTTTCTGTCTTGTTCTTTTAATTCTCTGTCTCTTTCTTTTTGGTCTTCTTTTTAATTATTTCATCATTTCTAGCAACACTAGAAATTTAGTTAAAGTTCTATTTTAATTTCACCAAAATAATCTCACTTCTGACACAATGTTGTAACATTGTCTTTTGTTGAGTGTTTTAAATAATTTTATGAAAATAATGAGAAGCCCAGCCCAGGTAAGGATAACGAATTGGTTTATTTCTTCTATAACGTTTATACAACCAGCTATATTCACATTAACACATGTTGTAGGCTGGAACAAAACGTTTCAACACTAACTCCGCAACTAAATGTAGATCTAGCCTCAAATACAGCGTTTGAATATAAACTGTGATACTACACCCAACTTAACTAGCTTTGTTAGATAAACAAGCATGTAACTCAACAAGTAATTGAATAACAGAACAGATATGATAATTTCTCTTTGACTCATATTCAGTGCTTCACTGATTTTCGTATTTATAACTAATGTACTCATCAAGATCTTAATCGAACTTAGTATATCTTAACCTCATACGCCCTTTAGCTAACATCTATATATAGCATTCCTAGTTTTCATTTTACTTAAATGAAAAATTTGTATTTTTTTAATGTTTCTAACATTTATAGAGAGGTAGACTTAACGGTATAAACTTAGCATAATTTAGCCATCAGGTTTCATATAGAACGAGCATGTCATTTGTGGCCGTTTAATCTAGACCACTATTTGATAGAGGTATGTCCTACAGCTCTCATCAGTGAAAGCCTCTTCTTCTTCTGTAGCTTTTTCCCGTATCTCTTTGGCCCTTTATACAGGCGATTCTGGCTTTGGAAGTAGCAAGGCGCTCTATTTTTCAATACAGAATGTAGCTATATGTGAATAGCATTTGAAGGAAAACTGACAACCAATCTATTTTTCTAAAAAAAATATTATGAAATATTCTTTATACAGTTTATTTGGACCCGGCAAGGTCAGGTGGTTAGGGTGCTCGACTCGCAATTTGCTGGTCGGGGGTTCGAATCCATGTTCTACCAAACATGCTCGCCCTTTCAGCCATGGAGACGTTATAATGTCACGATCAATCTCATTATTCGTTGGTAAAAGAGTAGCCCAAGAGTTGGCGGTAGGTGATGATGACTAGCTGCCATCCCTCTAGTCTTTCACTGCAAAATTAGGGATGGATGTGGCAGATAGCCCTCGTGTAGCTTTGCGCGAAATTCAAAACAAACAATCAAATCTTCTGTAATAGTGAGAAGTTTCGATATGTCATATAAAAATCAAAAAAATTCCGCATGTTTTCAAGAGCCTTATGTCAGGTTTCAGTACTCACACAAATTGTATTGTTTTTTTGTTTGT